GGTTCAAGAAGGTGAGAAACAGGTGAGTGGTCACTTTGTGGGTATTTACAGGCAACACAGCTTCACAGGCCAGGCAACCATAAAGGCAACAGTAGTGGCAGCAGAAACCTCTGGTACAACTTCACGCAGAAGCAGAAGTGTACTAGAATAAAAGGCTAAAACAGGAAGTGCAAAGAAATCATGGTAACATTTCACAGTGCTTCCACTGACAATGATCATTCTTATGAGAAAAGAGATGTTGAATTTTGAGCACTACTTTAAAAAACTATGAGGATCACAATTTCTATTCATCTCATAAACTCAAAGACTTCCTGGATACAGATATACCACCAGAGGTGAGAAAATGGTCATATTAAGGAGCCTGGGTAGAAAGCATGGAGTCCAACAACACAGTAATTACCTGGATCTATGTTGGTGCTGAAATATTTAAAAAATCCTCGATGTTCACACTTTGGCCTGTATGTTCTATTTTTTTCAAGAATGAGTGTCTCAAACACTATTTGCCATGAGATTTGTTTAGGAAATGTGAGACCGCAAACCAGAACCTGAGAATGGGTGTGTCGTGCCAGAAGAGAGCTGGCAGCCTTGATTTCTGATACAGGTCATCAGAAAATGTGACTCAACTGTTTGGACACTGTACAAAATAAACACTGTTGGGCACGTCACTTTTCCTTCACACATTTTAAAGACTTAATTACACAAACAGTAACAAGCACTTGTACAAAGTAACATGCAACAGCGCTCCCTGCAGTTACTCCATGGTGACCACAGAATATGGTGTTAGCACCTGCCTCAGAAAATGAGAATGTTGCTGTTTACTAGTTTTTGAGTTATTCTACACTCACTGTTTAAATCAAAAAGTCTATAACATTAGGTTTTTGACTAAAGTATAAAAATAATGTTTTATTTTTTGCTTGCTTTCTCCTTGGATAGAGGGACATCTAGACTACCTTGCTGAACCTTCTGCCACCGCGTCGACCCCAGATAAGCAGATGATAATGGATGGATGGACGGATGTCCTTGGATTTAAAAACAACAGTTAAATATTACTTTCTTTTTACTTTTTCATTTCAGTTTTTAAAATAAACTTTCAATTACCATAATATTCACAGAGCCTATGACACCAATAACACAACCCAGTCTCAGCAAAATATGTAATAGCTACAGTGGTCCACAATGCACAATGTATTAGCCTCAAAATAATACCTCAGAAACTGCAACACTGCAACATTTTTCTGGTTCGAAAACTGTGACATGGCAATGTCATCTGGCAGCAAAAATGAAGGACAATGGCTGACCTTCCTTATATATGGTTACGTTTAGGCAGAGAGACTAAATGGCTAGGGTTAGGGAAAGCCCCTGGGTGGTTACAACATTCTCAAATGAAAAGTACAATATCGCACAGCGTGGGGCATGTAACTCAATATCTGGTTGTTTGTGTGAAAGCAGGTGTTTGTTGGACCCATCCACCACCTTCTTGTTTTTAACAGTAGTTCAAAACCACACACGTTCAATGGACATTAAATGTTAGCTTCTCGATACACACTCCTGTCCAGTTGGTGATGGTAATGCACCATATTGTTGTTTGCCAACTCCCATAAAACACCAAGAAGAAGAACACAAAGGACACTGAGGGCCCTATTTTCCTGAAAAAAGGGTACAGTGCAAAGCACATGTCTAAATTCCAGGAGCAAGGCACATATGGACATGTTCAACAGTGTTTTGCAGCTCCAGTGACCTAGACGCAGAGCACTTTTTAACATTTCACAGTTTTTAAAATAACACAATAAAATCATATTGTAATCACTGCGTTTATGGCGAAACTGACTGTGGTCCACCAGAGCACACAACTAGTGGATGTATCACCCACTTTATCGCCACCTACAGCTGTTTTTGAAGCTGATCAAATGGACATAAAATGCAAAAATATACACTAGGTACTGTATATCTCTGCAATGAAGTTATGTCCGTGAAACTTTGAAGAAACTGTAACTTAAGAGTGATAGCAGTGCACAGTACTGTTTAACCATTTTCATATTCACAGCCACATACTGAGGACTAATTCATTTATATTATTTAAAAGTAATCTTTATAAATTATTACACATATTTCATGATAATGAAATATAATTTCACAATGGATTAGTTTGAGTGAATTCTAACAGATCAGTTGTGGATTTAAGGGTTGATTTCAAGTTGGTGTGTCCACTAAAGTACATCTGGGGACCTGATCTTGTTCTACCCAGCCCATGAGCCTGTCAGGAAAACTTCAAATGCACCTGTGTTTGCGATAAGAGGTGGTCTGAGCAAGTGTTATCACTAT